ATGTTTTGTTCAATTAGGTACATATTTATTAAATAAAAACGTTTTTAATTTTGCTTTTTTCCATTTATCTCATCTCCTCTTTCAAATTCTGGTATTTTTCGCGCGCCATCCAAAGTCCATAGAGAAAAGAAATCAGTATGGCATGCAACGGCAGTGCGAGCGAGACAACTATCTGGAACAAGTGGCGAAGCAAAGGAGAGCCGATAAGGAGTTGCCACCTTGCTGGAGATTTCCAAGAAATTCCCATTTTGACAACAATTTCACAGAGAAGTATAGAATGGAATTTATAAAAACAAGACCTTTGCATGAAGCAAAATCTTCCAGGCCCAACACAAATACAATTAATGAAGTCACATCAACTTTTTTCGAGTTTGCACCCACACTGCGGCTATCTGGCAGCACCATACGAAAATGGCGAACACGAGCACTCCGATGAACGAAGAGCTGAAAAAATAAATTATTATTTTAAATTCCGTTTGCCAACGAAATTCCTCGCCTGCGTGCGTGTGCGGTGTGTGAAAAAGTGCGGAAAAGCGTGGGTAAATCGCGGAAATCGCCATGCAGAGCCCAAAGTGCAGTGTCAGCGAAATGGTAATGGAAAACCGAATGCAGCGACAGCATGCCAGCAGCCAGTATATCAAATAGAATAAAATTAAGTTTTTGCGAATTATGAAAAACCAATCGCTTATGTACGTGTGCGTGCGTGCGTGCGACGAGTGCTCCCAGTGTGTGTGTGTGTCCCCGTGTGTGCGCGAGTTTGTGGCTGTGTGCGAGCGAAGAAGCAGAAGGCAGAGCAAAATGCAAATAGCTGCCTAGCAAATAAAAATAAAAGCGAACCAAATTAATAAGGTGAACAACAGACGAAATAAACACACAATAACACACACAGCAGCAACAGCTACAACTACAAATACAAATAAAAACTGGCGGTAAATACGCATGCAGTACAAAACCAGCAATAACAACAACGGCAAACACAACGTAAGACGTGAAAATCCACGAAAAATACGAACATACATCTACTCGTTGACGTATTTGTCTATTATTATGCAAAAGAGCAACAAATCGCAGGCAGGCGGCAAATTGCAGCAGCAGAAATCCAATATAAATAGCAAAAAGGTAAAAAAAAGAACTAGAAAATAAGACGAGCGTGCACTAAAAATAAAAATAAGAGTTGTTTGAAAAAGTGATCTACAATACAGAAAAAAGGGGGGAAAATAAAAATACTGCAAACCTTTCAATTGGTTTCAATTGGCAAATGCAATTGTTCAGCATTACATTTGCATTACATTGCATTGGGGGTTGCACCTATCCCGCTTCCACTCCCACTTCTTCACCCGCTCGCTCTCCCTATTGCCCTCTATCGCTCTCCCGCTCGCTCTCCTCGCCCATTCCGCTTCGCAAACTTTTGCGACGAACAAGAACAATAATAATCAAAACAAAAATGTTTAAAATCCATTTTCTTTCGCCTCTCCTTCACCCACCACTCATTTCGCAGCAGCGCCGCTGTCATTTGTCTTGCGCCTTCTCTGCCTCGTCCCTCTTCTTCTTTTTCTTGTTCTTCTTCATCGCCCCCGCGCAACGTGAGCCCAACAGCTGTCTCGCTTGCTCGCTCGCTCGCATGCATACGGTCCAAAAAGCAGAGAATACAGAGGCAAAACGCAACGAAAACGAAGTTGCCTAAAGGGCGCAACAGTGGGTCAAAAGTGATGTGGATAGGTCAGAAAGCGGATTACGTTATTGTTGTGACAATCTTTATCTGGTGTACAGTGGAAATTTTCGGCACACTTGTTTTCACTATCGCCAGTCAGAATCATACATTTGAACTAAGTAATAACAATGAGATTTCAATAATGTCTGTTTAGCTTTGAATGTTTGATCATAATATTTAAACTATTAAATATTAAACTATCGGTACAAAAAAACATATTTCTTTTAAATGAATCAGGCAATCCATACATTTTTTGGCTATATAACTATTAAAATAGTGTTACAGATTAAGAGATTTATTTGTTTAATACTTCACGCATTAATAATATCTTTGAGATAACGACTTGAGTCTATTTGCATATCAAAATAAACTTTACATTGACCAAATTGATTGCCATGAGTAAAAGCCAATTAGTAAACCTTCAATATTAGGAAGTATATTATATATTTTATTTTTAAAATCTCGGCATACATATATTTCAGATTAATTTATATACTGTCCCGAAAGTAGTTACTTTCTTAAATACACGTTTGGTAAATAAATAGTAGCACATTAAAAATCAATAGCAACATTGCTAAGCTTTATTAATCAATACTAATTTAGTTTTTTAGGTAGAGTCTTTAATTTTGTTCATTAAATATAAATAGATTTAGTTAATAGAGAAATAAAATTTAAAAAATACGTTTAGTTAATTTGTGTATAATGAAATTTAATAACAAGATTAACGTTTATTTCATTTATTTGAGTTATAAAAGTTACCCTTAATATAAATAATTTAAATAATTTGTTGTAATTAATGTCAAGTCTCCAATTTAATTTAAAAGTTTTTTTTTTCGGATTAGAAAATCATCTCATTTAATGATCAAATGGAACATATTTTAGAAATGTTAAATTTATTATTAATTTATGAAGTATAAATAAAATGTGCATTCCATTTGCAAAGTCATAATAGAATCTGTTTTAGATTTATGATTAATATTTCATGGATAATTCATCTAAATGCTAATTATAGAAATATAATTATATGAAATATCGAAAAGATATGAAAAGTGAAAAGCCCAATATACAAACATATACATAATGTACATACACACCTTGCTTACTTACACACATTATCCATTTGCCAAATAAACATGCTGAAAGGCAAACGAAAAGTGGAAAGCAGAAGAAAAAGAAGAAGCGGAGGCTCCAAAAGGCGGCAAATCTGAGGCAAACATTTGTGTGTGCTAGAAAGAGAGAGAGACACGTAAAGCAACAGGGGCAAAACAATACAATGGCAAAAATAGTAAAGAAATAAGAAGTAATGTAACAACGGGAATAAAAAAGAAAATAACAACACCAAACATGCCGCATAATGGCCGATTGATGATAAGCTCTTTGGCCAATACAAAGAGCCGGGAAGAATGAATGGTCATGGGGAGCGGGAGCGGGAGAGAGGGACTTCCGAATTTTGAGTGGGCGGCAACACTGTAACCCCCCCCCCCTCTTCTTTTTCCCCCCTTTTTTTTGCGCATCTTTCCGCAAGCCGTTTTTGTTTTGATTGCGAATCTTCTACAAAAACCGATATGCAATTACAGTAAAACTTCTGTATAAAAGAAAGGGGTATTTAAATTAATTTAGGATAATATTTTATAAAAGTAACCGGTTTTGCGAACTATATATATTATATTGTTATAAAATGTTATATACGAAAAGAGGAATTTTAATTATTTTACTCTATTTTACTCTGAATGACATTTTCTATATTTATTATACTGGAATATTTTCGCATATTTTCCCAAATAAGATTTACAGACCAAATACCACTGTAGTTTGACTTCGTTTTAACAAAAATCTCTTGAAATTCTTTCCTATTTTGAAAGCTTCTTTGGATTTTATTGTTGGTCGGAATTAAATTGTGGTTGCATTTTAACCCCAGCTCCTCCTGCCTCCCATTTTATTTGCACGGAAAGTCTGTGCCTCTTCAAGAAGCAGCATCCTTTCAGCATTCCTATTACTCTTTTTTATATTCTTTTTTTGTTGTTGTTTTTTTTTTTGACAATGCCTCGAACTAGCAAAAACAACTCTTCGCTAACAGAGCAATACGTGCCATTGAAAAAAAATAAAAAAGAAAATCAGAGGCTTCACTGAAAAACTGGTTTCGGTTTCGGTCTGGCCAAGCACTTTACATGAAAATGCGCAAAACAAAACTATTTCGAATTGGCGGCTATTGGAGAGGGCAGGGCTAAAAAGCACGCGACACGACCACCGCAAAATATGGTTGAAATAGATGCAGTTTAGTGGGGGGTTTAAGGGAGGAAATAAAACGATTTTGGTAGAGATAATTGAGAGCTAGAAATAGAGTTCGATAACGTAACTTAATTTTAATTAGAATATTAATTTAATTACTAATTAAAAAATAACAAACTTTTACTTTATTTATTTACTCTAAAGTCTCTCAATGAAATATCTTCATGTGCGTCGCCAAACCTATATGATTTGTTGATGCAAACTCTAAATCAACGCTTTAAAGCATTTTTGCCTCCTCTCTGACGCTCCACTTTGAATTTTAACAGTTTATTCTATACTTAGATAAATTGCTTAAGAGAATAATATATTATGTAAAAAATTAATTTTATAAACTTAAAATATTAAAAATCCTTCAATTCTCAACAGATATTTGAATTCCCGATCAAATATGATGAAACGTAACCTATAAAACTAATATCATCTTATTCAAAAACTCTATTTCCTAATTAGAAGTTATAAACTTTGCTAGAAGTCCCTGAAAATATCTTTAATCTTGTTCAGGACATCAGGTATTCGACCATGACCATCTTTGTAGTTGTTATTCTCTCCTTCCTGTCTTGGACATGGTTCTTGCTCCACCCAATAATACCCCGCATCCTTGGCCCCCACAATCTCCTTTCCTCTCCTTGCAATCCGGTGTAAAGCTTTCGACACAATGGACTGCTGCGACTCCTTTTCTTTTTATTACATCTTCAACATGTGGTTGCCGGTGCTGGTGGTGGTGGTGGCTCCGTGTCAGTTTAGTTCAGTTCAGTTGCATCGGGAACGGCAATTCGCAAGGAACTACTAGCTAGCTGAGGATGCCGCCGCCTCTTTGGATTTTGTATTGATTGATTTTCCTTGCCACAATTTCTAAATAAACCTCATTTAACTAAACCTTCTCTTGACTTTGCAGGACGACGAAAGGCGGCTGTGAGCCTTTGAAGTGTTGAGCAACCTCGCAAGGAATACAGAAAAAGGAAATAAAAAACGAAAAAAAGATAAATCAAAAACCTTTAAAATGGCCGCGGTACGAGGACATCAGTACTTTAGTTTGCGCTGGAACAACTATCAGAACACTATGACATCGGTGTTCCAGCAGCTCCGCGAGGATCTGTCCTTTGTGGATGTCACTCTGTCCTGCGAACACGGATCCCTCAAGGCGCACAAGGTAAGTATCGATGAAATATATTGTATCTGAATGTATTAATAACTAAAGTCTTAATTTATTAGGTTGTTTTGTCCGCCTGCTCGACGTATTTCCAAAAACTTTTATTGGAGAATCCGTGCAAACATCCCACAATCATCCTGCCCGCCGACATCATCTTCACCGATCTGAAAACCATTATTGATTTCGTTTATCGAGGAGAAATTGATGTCACCGAATCAGAACTACAGGTGAGCTAATTGTCTGGCATATGATCTGCATATATAATAAGTTTTTGTGTTAAAAATGAAAAGTAATAAATAAGTTTTGAATTATGACCGTAATAAGGTATATTTTGACCAAATTTAGATTATATAAGCTTAAGCAATATACAAAAAATGTATTTATAAAGAAATCAAGAAGCAAAACAAAAGATAAATTCCCTTGTTTGTCACACGGAAAGTTTTTATACAAGAAGATGTTTACAATCTTTATATAACAAATGTTTCATGTTTGCGCTTTGCGGATAAGATATCGTTCAATATCCGTTTCCACAAAAGAATCTTTTATCTTCTATATAATTGTAAAAGTATTTGTTTATTGAGAATTTGTACAATTTACACAATATAAAAACTACTAAATGTTTATGTGCTATGCTATGCTGCGTGGATAAGATAACTCTTGACAGGAAAGTTTAATTTCTATTGCCTTTCTCCTTATCTAATGACTCATAAAATGTGATTGTAATTGTGTTTGATTTTTTTATGGGGCAAGGCTGCTTACTGAGATAAGCAATTAATCACATAATTATAATGTAATCAAGTTTTATACGGTTTTAATTGTGTTATTTTCTATTGTTATCATGGCTTACAACGCTAAAAGTATATATATTTAAATGTACATATACAACAAAATGCTTTATAATTAGAAATGGTATTTATTATAGGTTTTTTTTGCAAAAAGTTCAGCGAACTTAGGGGGAAACGATGAAAAATCTACACATTTACTTTAACTAAAATGTTTAGTTTCTATTTGATTATAACAGATATTTAATAAATTAATTCGATTATAAAAAAAATATTCGTTGGCGTCGCAAATACGTATATGATTTGTTGTTGTTAACTCAAGATAGTGGAATTGAAGCATTTTTACTGCCTCTCTTCATCTATCCCTCTTCAAAAACCTAATCTCCACATTTTTTGGGGGAAAACACAACTTTTTTAATTAATATACAAAGAAAACATAAGGAATCGAAGCACTGTATATTTAAAATTGGTTTTACTGTGCTCTCAGTCGGTTTTTTGTCCTCGGGCTCCGACCTTGAAGCTTGGTGTCTAGTCCTGTTCCTATAATGTTTAACCCAAACTTGCACTGGTCTCTATTTTATATAATAATATTATTTATAATCCAAACAAACTAAGAATTTCGTAGAACCGACTAATTTGGATCAAAATACAACCGAATCGCATGAATTCCAATACACAGCAGCAGTTACTAGATACACCCAGTCTGCACCCACAATTACCACCTCCCCTAATCGGTCTGTCAACAAATGAAAAGCATCGGGCAGAGAGCTAGCCAAAAACCACGAAAGTTGTTCTTTTCTAAATTGAACTCACAAATATAGTAGAGGCGACGGCGGGATCGTTGTGGTGCGAGTACAATTACTGTCAGGGTCGCGCTGTTATCGGGGTCTAGAGCGAGCTCTCTTTCCATTTTCCCCCGATTTCCCATCATGTTGAACCCTTTCTCTCGTATCTATTTGAACACCACCCACTTGCCCAGGGCACTGAGAGAAAATTAGGCAGGTTCTCTAAGAAAATAGGCGAAAATTGTTAATTGAAGTTGTTTTTGATAACGGATAAGTTGAGGGTTTTAAGAAAATAGGAATATTTTGGGAATATCTAAAAGCAATATTAATTTTTAAACCACAATAATAATTAAAAAAAAGGTTCAACAAATTTTATTTTAAAACGTTTATTATTATTAACTGATTACTAGAAAACAACAAGAGTTACGGGAGTTCTTAAATTTAGTTAAGAATATTATTTATATATTTTTTACAAATTTCGATTAAACTACAAAATTTTAATATTCTGAACCTGAATAACCTGAGCCCTTGAAATAATTATTTCTTGAATTAGTAGTGTGCAGGAGATATTACATAAAGGACACACATAAAACGTGCGGCTTTTCTAAGGCCAAATTTGATTGTTTTGCTTTGCTTATGTAAAGGATTCCAATTTTATATGCATTAAAAAGTAATGTATAAATAATAATACAATTTCAATAAATGGGTACGACAATAATTTAAAATGTTTATATAAAATATAAAAATATACCACCTTGTAATAACATCAAATAATTATAAATCAGGATAAATCTAGCAGTCAACCACCCGAAAATTAAAATCCCTAATGACAAACCCAATTTTTTCTCTTAGTGCATCACCGTACAAGCGTCGATTGTGTGTGTTGTGACGACAACGCCCCCCATTGTAATTGTCATTTTGTGTGCTTCATTAACTCTTGTTGTCGACGTCGACAACGATTGACGATTGCTCCGGGGCACATACACAATTATTACCTTTAAACATTTATCGGGGAAATGTGCCCCAAACTATAACTACACATATATGTATGTACATATATATTGTATGGTTCGTTGTTGCTGCGAACGGATAATTGATATTGATTTGCATTCTCAATGCGATTTTATCTATTTCTCGCAGTAATTAGGGTTTAATTTTAGTTCTGCGGTCGGAATAGTGGTTTTTGGTGACTTTGAGTATCTAAAGGATATATTTTTAAGTACCTGAAAAATAATTAATTAAAAAGTTTAATTATATTGCAATCTTTGATTTCTATGATTTTAAAATTGAATTAAAAAAAGAATATTTAATTAATTACATGATATTGACAATATAGTCTAGAACGCTTTTTTTACGTTTGTTCATTGATATTTTCAAAAGCTTATGCCAAAAAACCGTGAACTTAACCTAGTTTTTTTTTAATTATCCTTTTTATTTAAAATAATCGAAATAATCGATAACTAATCGAAATTTAATGTAAATTAATTAAAATTTAGCAGAAAATAATAATTAAGGGCTTTCTGTTAAGTCCGGTACAGCGGACATCCGGCTTAGCTGTAAAGTGTTAACATTAACTTATTTAAACAGCAACCGCTTAAGCGGAGACAGCAACCACATTACAGTGGCGGGCAACACAGTGCTCACAACACTCACACCTCTCGGCGCCACCCCCTCCCCGTTTCCGCTTGAGCAAATAAATGCTCAACTTGCTTTGCGCTCAAGTCGTTGCTGTCGCCACCGCCGCCGCTGCTGAGAAATAAAAAATTACTCAAGCTGACGCAACGCCACCAAAACAAAAAAACTCAAACGGCGGTCCAGGTCTACCTTCCCGCTCCCACTCCCCATAACACACACACAAACACAAGCCGCTTCTCCTTCCGCCGTTTCTGCTTCTTCTTCTTCTTGCGGCGACTGGCAGACGACGACTTCCCATTCATGCTCTCTCTCGCTTCCCGCCTCCTTCTTCCGCTCTCTCTGTCGTCTCTTTGCACCGCTTGTTGTTTTTGTCACAGACGTGCGCTCCATTTTTATATTTTCGCCGGCCATCTGTGCGCCCATCCACCCACTGTGCCCACCGGGTCGGCCACCGCCACCCCCTCTTTAACTTCCACAAGTTGCTGAATTTTTTCGCCCATATTTTTTTTTCCTTTTTGTTTTGTGTGGCGACTTTTACAACTACAACTACAGCGGCAGTTGTGTGTGTTGCCTTGTATCTCTTTCGTTTTGTCGCCGTTGTTTCTGCACATGTTCTTGGAGTTTCCTCCTGCTCCTCCTTCACTTTATGTATTATTTTTTCGCCCATTTTTTTTTCTTCTCTTCAGTTTGTTGTTGTATTTGCCCTTGTACTTTTGTATGTTCAACCGCAACTTCTCTTTCTGTTTGTATGTTTGTGAGTTGGAGCTTTCGTCTTTAGCTTAATGCGTAAGAGTATGTGTGTATGTTTGGGGATATGTTTATCTGTGTGTGTGCGTGACTCTGTGTATTTGTGGCCCCTTTTTTTGGCGCGTCCATTTCGCCTTGAAATTTTTTTTGCGAGTGGACTTCAGATTGGCAATGCTTAGGGACCATCGCAACGGAAATGAGGGAAAATGGGAAGACCAAAACTTTCGGAACCAAGAGTGTGCAGTAAAGTGTTCCAAAATAAAAAATAAATAACAAAAAATACATCAAGACTTTATTCTTTGTTAAGTTCTTGCTGAAACTTTATTAACTAACAAATTATTTTTAAAGCTCAGCTTAATTAGATACAAATTAAGCTTCCAGAAAAATGTTTGTACAAAAAATTCAATTAGTTTTCTAGTTGTCAATGTAAATGAATATTTTAAAAATTTATTTTAGAGAAATCTTGAAGTCAATGTGTATATTTTTCTACTCTCCCCAAATAAAATAGAGGGCCTAACAAATGCTTGTGGCATTTTGTATAACAGCTCCTCTGCAATTAAGGGGACCTCCCTTTATTCGAACAGGGTCCACCTCAAGATAGCCACACCAAGAAACGGTTTCTTACGCTAGTATGCAGGTCTTCACTAGGGCTATCCCTTTCGCTCTCAAGCCGGATGACCCCTGCGTTGCCACTCTTCTTTCTGGGGTTTTGTGTGCTAGTGGTTTTTTTTCGCTTTTTGGGGTTAAGCTCAGATTCGATTTTTGCTAAGCGTTAATTAATGCTGGCGCTGCTTTAATGCTTTTAGCAAACGTGGTCAGCTAGCCCATACATACATCCTTACATATGTACATATGCGGCGGAATACATGTACAGATGATTTAGTAGTGCCTCCCCCCTCCTCTTGAGCCCCTAAAACCCCGTTGGCTCCCTTAACCCCTCGCCTAACCTCTCTTAACCTCTCGCTTGGACCCCCTTTTAAATGCATGTGTCTGCCACGCCATGTGCTTTGGTTATATTTATTGCTATGTATTTTGTTGGATACCCTATCAAGGGGTGGTGATATTTTGGGAATACATGGATGCTTCTTCAATTGATACTATTTAAAACTGTATGGGAAAAAAAAAAATATTTATTTTTATAATAAATTGCAAACAAAAAATAATTATTATATGTTTCATATTTATTAGTTTAAATTAAGCAAATTTTAATTCCTCATTTTTTTATTCATTTACTTATTTGTTCATGTATTATTTTCGTACATTTTATGTTATTTTTAA